TCCGGTTCCCGTACATGAGCTGTCTGGGTCCGGGTCCAGCGTAGCCATGGTTTAAAGTTTAAACCATTCACATACTAAGGAGCAATTGCGGTTAAAGCCTAAAGGAACAATTTTGGTTTGCGTAGGTGCTAACACAGTTAAGCTACTACTGATGCAAGTCCACTCTGATCTGCGATCTGATGGCTGTGAGCAATCTAGAGTACACAACGGAGTGCGCCCCCATGTCATTTTACACATACATTCCTCCCTAAGCAGATACAGACCGTCCTATTACGGGCCAACATCAGGGGTGTGTTTACCAATAAACCAGGACATCACCTCTGCCTAAACCAGCAGCACATCACCCACAGACGTAAGGGGTCTGTTTACTAATAAGGCAGGGTATAGCTGCAAAGCATGAGAGAAGAGAACATTCAGGCAGAGGCGGTGGTGGTGAGTCGGGAGGCGGGGGAAGCGCTGAAGGAGGAGGAGGAAGAAGAGGAAGAGGAAGACATCAGAAGAAGAATTGGGAGGCGTTGTGTGTGTACATGTTCGCTGAACCCAGTTCCAGCATTTAATAATAAAAATAAAGGACGAGGAGGATGTTTGGAGATGGAGACGACGACGAAGAAGAAGAAGAAGAGAAAGAGGAAGAAGAAGAAGAAGAAGAAGAAGAAGAAGAAGAAGAAGAAGAAGAAGAAGAAGAAGAAGAAGAAGAGAAGAAGAAGAAGAAGAAGAAAAAGAGAGGAAGAAGAAGAAGAAGAAGAGGAAAAATTGGAGAAAGAGGTAGAATGAGGGAGATATGCGGATAACAAACAAGGTGTGGGAGAACACCTCCCAGCTCGTACTCCACACCTGGAAAAAAAAAAAAAAAAAAGGTGGAGAGGAAGAGGTGGGAGGGGTAGAAGAAACAGGAGCATACAAAGAAAGAGGATATGGAGTACGAGAACCACGCGCGATTCTAGCCATTGCAGAACTGAAACAAGGAAGCGCACTTTATCGCAGAATCCAAAACTTCTCATCGAATCTGGTTCTTGCCGTTACGTAGCTCGAATAAAAAATCCAGGACCGAAACTCTAGGAATAAAAATTGGAGAATGCGATAAAAAAGTTTCAAGCCTTTTTCAAGGGAAAAAAAAAAAAAAAAAAAAAAAAAGAAGAAGAAGAAGAATGCGATCAAAATGTTTTTCCTGATCTCTGCTCCAAAAAATAGGTAAACTGTCAGTGAAGTCCAACGAACAAATGGATACAATTCGGCGTGGACATACTAAACGCAAGTCAATCCCTACCTAGCTTACTTGCAGGCTGACCTGACAAAGCAAAATTGCTGACGATGCCTGCAGTTAGTTTTGCCTTCCTCTGGCGGTGTCAATGGCATCCCGATTAGGAAAATAAGCAGATGGAGACTGGTTCTAAAGGGGGAGGGTAGGCCCTGCTTGTGCTATGTTCATAGTTAGAAAGCATGCACCTGGTCATAAAAATGCTCAGATTCATGCTTTTGTAGCACGAACACAAGACCAGTTGGGCAAGGCTCTAGGTTCCGGCAAAGGGACGCGAATCGAAGACCATGCAGAGCACCCAGTTGGGGTCCCAATGTGAACCAGGCTTACGTCAAAAGCCCTGCTGTGTGCGGCCGAACCCAATCCACAAGCAAGGATGCAACCAAAACCCGCTACTTGCCATTCCAAATGGGGCTGGCGATATCCAAACGGGTTCACGGAGTGAGAAAGGGACCATACGCAGAGCACTCTCCTGGTCCAAATTTGGACTAGGTTCATGCCACAGGCCGCTAGGATGCACCACTGCTGTGTGTGGAAGCCCACTCCACAAGCGTAGCTACTGCAAACCCTGTCCCAACTGACTTCTTGTTGTCCCAAACAGGGCCCGCGACATCCAAATGGGCCCAAGGAATGCCTTCGCGGACAAATTCCTTCAAGAAAAGCGCCGCAATTATCGAACCTCCTGCTCTGCCACCCGTATTTAGCATATCTGCCACACTGCTTTTGATCGTCTCCATGTATGCCTCCTCCATAGGCAGTCTCCATAGCTTCTCTCCCGCAAGCTTTGCCGCGCGCTGGAGCTCGTCGGCTATGGAGTCATGTGGCGTGAACATGCCACCAATGTCGTTGCCAAGCGCGACGATGCATGCACCCGTCAGCGTGGCGATGTCGACAATGGCATCCACCTCCAGATTGCATGCATACACAAGCGCATCGGCTAAAGTCAGCCTGCCTTCTGCGTCCGTGTTGTTGACTTCAATCGTTTTCCCGTTAGACGCAGTCAGAATGTCGCCGGGTCTCATACCCGAACCGCTGACCATGTTCTCACAAGCCGCTGCAATGAAGTGGATTTCAACACCCTCTGGTTTGAGCGACCCTATCGCGTCCGCCGCTCCTAGAACTGCTCCGGCTCCCGCCATGTCGAACTTCATCAGTTCTATCATAGAGCCCACGCCGGCCTTGATGTTATAGCCCCCACTGTCAAAGGTCAACGCCTTCCCGATAATCGCAAGGCGTTTCGTCGGTTTTCCGCTTGGCGGCACGTACTTCAAATGGACGAACTTCGGTGGGAGGGTCGAAGCCGCCGCGACCCCCAGGAACGCACCCATCCCCAGCCTTTCGCAGTCGCTCTTCTCCAAGATTGTGGCCGACATGACGTCCGCATGGTTCGTTGCGATGGCGACCGCCACATCGGCGAAGGCACCTGGCGTCAGAACATTTGGCGGCGCATTGACCAGTTGCCGCGTCAGCATGATCCCATCGCAGATCTTGACAGACGTCTGAAATGCAGCATCCAATTCCGCACTCGGCGCGATCCCTAGGATTTGCAAGGACTCCAGCGTCAGTTTCTTGGACTCCGATTTAAACCTCGTGTCCTCAAAACAGCCCAAAACAAGGCCTGAGGAAAGGCCCTTAGCAGCTGCCACCCTAGACTTATTACTGCTCAGGCCCGCCCAGCCACTGTCGCCCGATCCGAGAAGGAACGCAGCTGCTGAATGCGCATTGCAGCTCTTCGCCGTCGCGGCCAGGACCGAGCCTGCCGTTCTCCACGGTGCAACCCCAGTCTCCAAGTCCTCATTGGACTTCCGCTTTCCAAGCCCAACGACTCCCACGCGCTTGCAACTGAGCCCGCTTGTACCTTTGCCCAGCCTCGCGAAGACCGACTGCCCGGCCTTGCCCTTGAAATCGCCCTCCGCGACAATCTCCGCAAGAAGTCCCCCTGTGGAGTCGTCGATGCTAGCCAGCTCTGAGTCAAGGAACTTTCCTGAGGACTCGTCTTTTGCAATGGTCTCTTCCCAGACAAGCAGCACGAGAACATCTCCCACCCACACCAAGGGAGACGTTAAAGAAGCTGCGAACCGGATCGCCGGGATGAGCGGTGTGCCGGCTTTTGTGAGGCCGAGTGTCTCTAGAGAAACTTCGCGAGGTGGTGGGGAAGCAATTGCCGCGGTGGAGGGCGCCATGGCTGCCGTGGTGAAGCAGCGCCGCCGCGGGAGTGACCGCACTGACGACAGCCCGAGCGCCTGCAGTTCGACTGAATGGGGGAGACCCGAGAAGTCTGATGACGAAGCGGAGGTCGCCGACAATGACAGCCCATGCGTGGCAGGGAAGAACACCCTGCGTCTCGTCTTCGGGCGCCCGGAAAGATTGGTCTGCGACTTGGTGGGCACAGATGTCAAGAACTGTCGGCTGCAAGCTGTGCAAACATCGTTACAGCGGCGAAGGAGCTCTGATGCTGCACTTGACCGGCAGCAATCGACTGCTGTGGTGTCAATGGCAGCAGCAGCTGTTAAACGCACCACTCCTACTCCGCCACGTGTCCCTGCCCGTAACAGTGCAACAGACTCAGCGGCAGCTGCAGAAAAGGACCCCATCATTAACAAACCCTACAGTCTGCAATCACCATCCAATGGCATCCATCCATCCAGCCAGCCAGCCAGCCACACGAGCCCTATGCCAGACAGAGACAACCACCAAACACAAGGAAAGTGCTACACCAGCTACTCAAGTCAGAATACCACCCACCCCTTCCTTCCCTTCCACCCTTCCCCTCCTTTGCACCCAAACTGCAGGCCCCCGTCCTCCCTCCCATCTCCCCAGAACTGCCCCTCAACTTCTCTAAAACTCCCTCCCTCTAAGACCCTTCCCCAAAGATGGGACTGACAACTTCTCATGACTGACGTGTGAACAGCAGAGAAAAAAAAAAAAAAAAAAAAAAAA